ACTTGCTACATATGGACATATGCCTTGTATGAGTATTGCTTCTTACCCAAAAGAATATAGACATGACAATAATCACATGAATATATAGGAAATCAACTAAAAATACTTACCAATTAGAATTTTAGAGAGCCTCAAAGCCAAGGGAATGGTTAGATTCGGTATTTGTTTGTTGTGAACTTGCATAAACCACAATGAGAGTGAGAGAGAGTAGGATGTAAGAGAATAGTATGTTGAGAGAGAGAAAGAAGATTGAGAAAAAACCACGTTGAGAGAGAGTTGGGGATGGGGTAAAAGATATAAAGAGATATTCAATGAAATAAAAAGACCTAAATAAAAGGATTTAGAGACTAGTAACGATAAGAAAAGTAATTTGTATATAAATTTAGGAGGAAAATGGAAAAAGAAATAGAGAGTAAATACAAGAGGCGAAGGAGAAAAATGTGACTTAATAACTATGTAGAGAGAGAGAGTGTGTGTGTGATTGTTGAAAGAAGAAAAATAAATAAATGATTTACATGTAAAAATCTTGAGAGAGAGAGAAGTTGTTCCATAAGTAGATAAGTTGAGGGAAATTAATGGGGCATTATAACTACTTGAGAGAGAGAGAGTAAAAATAAGAGGTGTGTAAATTCCCATGAAAAGAGGAGATAAAGTATGCTTATTTTCAATGTTTCACAAGAGAGACAGAGGTTATTTTATCAATGTTTGCATTAGTTAACATGCAAATGGTTAAAGTTAGTATAAATGTGGACATTAAATGTTAACATTGATAATTATTTTCTTCATGCAAATATTTTTTCATATATGTTGATTTTACAAGTTTATATTACAAATATTTATTTTATATGATTATTTTAGTGATCAATATTTGAAGGACTCTTGTGTGAGAGTGAATAGTGGAGAGAGAAAGATAGAGGTATGTGAGTTATGGGAAGGAGAGAGAAGAGAGACCTAGGGAAGAGAGATAGAGGGGGGAATATTAATATGGGGGAGGAGAGTGGACAGAGAGAAACTGTGGGGAGAGAGAAGAGAGATGTTTATTATAAAAAATAGAGAGATGCTAGAAATTAATATAAGGGAGGAAAAGAGAAGAGAGAGAAAATTGTGGGGGGTTATTAAAATATATGAGTTAAAATAAGAGAGTTTTATTAAGAAAGGGAGTGTCATGTGAAAGTCTTTTTATGTTTCCCATACAACATAAAACTTATATGTTTACATTTATCTAACCTTCCATTCTGAATTAAGGGATAAGATTGCCCCAATCATAATGTCATAGCTCTACACTATTTTATTTTAAATTTTATTATATAAAATATTTTGACACCAAATTTTGAGCGTCCAATCCTCTAATAAACTCGCACTTTTAAAAAAAATATAAAACAAATATTCCCAATAAAATAACATACCAAAAATACCCCTAAAAGTTTCAAGGGGTATTTTCATCATTATATTTTATCGAAAGTTTATTTTTAATATTTTTTTATAGGTGCGCCCCATTGAGAAGATGGCATATACAAAATTTCATATTCATATAATTTGTATTAAATAAACATAAATATAAAATATTCTGAGGCATCGGATCTAATATCAAACGGCGAGTGGCTCACTGGATCAAAATTGGACAGCTGGATGATAGGGGAAGCATAGATCTTCTATGTTGTAGAGGAAGTATAGAAACCTTTAATTTTCCTAATAATGCCCCCATGTTATTCTCTCTCTTCTCTCTCACAATCTTCTCCATCTCACGCTCTTCTCTCTCTCTCTCTCTCACAAAAAATCATTCTATATGGATTTTAAAAAAGAAAAATAGACTCTCTTTCTAGGTTAGAGAGAGTTGGCAACGAAGGAGTACGAGAAGGTGGCTGAAGATTATAACTTTTAATAGACGATGATGAAAGGAGTAATAAAAATCATTATAAAATAAAAATCATTTTTATCATCATAATCCGAGCTTATCCCGACTATTTTAGGTCAGCTAAACAAGATGAAACAAATATGAATTATTGAAAAAATTTATTTGTACCATGAATATTTTAGATAATTTTTAAGATAAACATGTTAAAAACCATAAAAAATAGAATTTAAAGTCATATATTGGTGTTTTCCAATTTTTTTGTTTTAAATTTTTTATACTTTTTTCTGTAGTTTTTGGTGTAGGGTGAGTTGGGTGCAAGTGGGCAAGGCCAAGTTACTTGCCTAAGTCTGAGTTGATCCAACGAGTCATAA